TTAATTCCTGCTTAATCAAAAATAAATAAATAATGATAATATCACCAAGCAAAACAAACGGGGTCTGGGCCGGCTTTGCGATCAACAATAGAAAAAAATCACGCGCGCCTTAAACCTGCGCGCCCACGCACTCGCCATTGTGGTCAACCATCCTGTCAACGTAAATTACAGACGCGGTCACGCCTAGCGTGGTATACTTAAATTCTAAGCCAAACAACTTTCTGTTACTCGCAAAAACCAGGGCGGATACCCTTGTAAGGGTATTCGCACCGACAACGCCCGTGTTGGCCAAGGACCCTGCTATTATCGATCAGAGGTATCAAGCCGACTATCACCGCATGGAAGAGTAGAGTGGGTATGGGACGCTGGACCCGGTTTCCAGCACTTTGGCGTCGCTCTCATTGATGTACTGTGTGGCAAAGATGTATTCATGGGACGCTGGACCCGGTTTCCAGCAGGTGTTGCTCCCCACCAATAGATGGAGCGGTCCGCTAGGCAAAGCCTCAATCCCGGTGGTACTCTTACCACCAACAGGATGGAGGTCTTGCACAAGGGCCTTTCAAAAAAAAAAAAACAAAAACAAAAAAAAGCCGGCAACTTGGCACTAAGAACCCACAACCTCCTGAATGCCACTTGCATGCCTAACCAACTGAGCTAGGCTGCATTCCGATTTTGCTAATGACAAACCATCGTCTTTCTTAAAAAAAAAAAAAAGAAAAAAAAAGAAAGGAAAAAACATCTTGTCAACTATATGGTCAGAAACATCTCTGATGTACCAACAAGACTACGGGGCACGGTTCCACTAGCACACGAGTCATGGCCTAGTGCGACGCCTGCGACACTCCAGAAAAACGAAGAAAAGAGAAAAAAGAAAATTAAAGTGGTGACTTCTCAAGTCCCAAGGTGGGGACGAGCCCTACCTTTGGAAGTGCTGCAAAAGCTGTGCCATCTTCTTGAACCGTAGAATGGACAGTGGATGAATGTATCCCTCCCAGAACGTAGCCAGATTCACTTCTTCCATCTTTCTTTATTGCCTGAGGGTGCACCTATGACAAGTGCTACCGTGACGATTGCAGTCCGAGTCTCACGTACCACAGAGAGGGAGTGGAATCCCTTAGTGTGCCCGACGGGGCTGCCTCCTGTGACGGTTCCCATGTTCAAGCCTGAAGTCCTTATATTTTGAGAAAGAAATGAAGTACTCCAGGTGCTTTCTATTGACCGGAAAAGAAAGCACGGTCAATACGAACGACTTGGAGTACTTGATTTTTTTTTTTGTTTTCGACAACCACCAATCAAAAATGGACTTGGTATTTCTTTTCCCCACATCCTGTTATTCACCAAAAAAACAAACAAACAAGAAAAAGTAAATTAAAACACAAATTTTAAATATACAAACATCTTTATTTTGCTACCCTCGGATTTCGATGCAGCAACGGCTGGTGGATGTCCCCCGGACGTCCCACAGGTGTCGCGGTGCGACAATATACCTTACTCGGTTGCTAGTGGAACCGTGCCCCAGTAGTCAAAAAGAAGAACAAAAAAAAAAAAGAAGAAAAGAAAAACCAAAAAAAAACTACAGTAGTCGCGGGAGGACAAAGAAAGCACCTGCATTAATTAACGCAAATAACCCTAACAATGAAGACTGACACCATCGAAAAATAAACACTACCGAAAGATCTACACCACCAGCCCAAGCTACACAAAGAAACGAACGGAATTCTACCCACGAGTAAGTAAAACGCAAGCCAAGTATCCGTCGTAATATACACAGAAACAAAACCAAATAAAGATGACGAAAAAAAAAAAAAAAAAANAAAAAAAAAAAAAAAAAAAAAGAGATCTCAGGGCACACCACGCCCGAAGTAGGAATTATCAGCAACACAAAGCGACACAGATCCCAGCTTAAAGCCCGTTGTCAGCGACGGTGAGCGATACCGGTCACCACCAAGCTCTAGTGTAGCTCTCCCGGAAGCCGGCGCTTGTCTATGCACACACGTATCTCAGCTCCGTATCAAAGTCAGGGGACTAAATCCCTGACAGGTTTCACATACTGATATGTACGGCGCCCAGATCCCGCCCTTCAGACCACCACACATCTCCTCCTTCCTCACGTAGTCTCTCCAGGAATGCTAGCTTACACCAACCTGGACCAGGCTCTAAAGATCTTTCGGTACTGTTTTCTTTTCGATGGTATTGGTTGGTTTGTGCTTTATTGTTAGGGTTGTTGGTGTTAATTAGTGCTAACTAGAGTTTGGAGCTCGTTTAGGGTAGAGTGGGGTGTGACTTAGCCGCGGTGGGGTTGATCCGGGCCGGTGAGCCTGGTTCATCGCCGCAGGCCGTGTTACTGATGTGAGGGACGCTGGGCCCGTTTCCCAGCTTGTGACAATATAATATACTCTTTTTTGGTAAAAAAAAAAAAAAGAAAGCACCTGCATGTGGAGACCAGACCAGTGCGCCGAGCAGATCCCGATATTACTTCGAGAGCTTGGCGGACTGCGTTGCGTTTGGCCGTACTTGCAGTTTCGGGAAAGTGTTGTTTTTTTTTTTTTGTTTTTTTTGTTTTTTTTTTTTTTCGGGAAAGTACAAGTGCGAGGAGATGCCCTTCCAAAAAAAAAAAAAAAAAAAGAGATGCCCTTCGTCTTGGCGTGGAGACTGCCCACGTTCCATTTGGCAGGACGAGCTCCAGTGGGAGAAAGCCAGCTATGGTTTACACCAAGCCCTACCGGCAGTGGACATCGCCAGGTGGTTACACCAAGCTCTGCAGGGTCGTGGTGGTTCAGCGTGAATTCCTCTCCAAGTTTTGGAATGAACAGAGTCGTGCTCGCCCGCCAGATGCATCCATGGGGAAACCATTAATTTGCGCGATCATTATCCCATATATCCTCTAAAAAGCCAATAGAAGTAGAGGCATAAACGTGGGGAGAAAGCAAAGAGCAGACTTGCACGAGGATTTTGGCTTGCTCACACTAGGACTTTTCTCTTATTTCGGGACGGAATTGCGGCCAGATGCAGCCTGGTGTGGCCGCAAATGCGCTCCGATAGTGCTACCGGTAGTGTGAGTAGGGCCTCACCACAGTCGCTCACCATTTTTTTTTTTTTTTTTTTTTTTTGGGGGGGGGGAACGCTCACCATTTCCAAAGCGGTGTCACCGCGGGGCCGTGGTCCCACTACCGAAGGGGATAGGATAGAAATCCTGAGTCTGCCTATGTTTTATGCAGAGATACAGAAAAGCAGTTCTATCTCGATTTCCTGCTCCTGTCCTCAAACACGTCCAGATTCGGGCATTCAATCCGATGCTCTTTGCTAACTCTTTGCTAATGGGACCACGGCCCGCCGGTACTCTGGGCCTCGCCACGCCACTTTTGCCGAAAGTGAAAAAGACAAAAAAATTACTATCTCGAATGAATGGATTAACGAGATTCCCACTGTCCTTATCTACCAACCTGCGAAACCACAGCCAAGGGAACGGATTTTTTTAAAGAAAAAAAAAAAAAAAAAAAAAAAAAAAAAAAAAAAAAAAAAACTATGGGTGCACCTTTTCAACTTTTTAGCGGAGTATGGGCCTCGCTGCACTACTCTCGAAATGCGCAAAACGAGAGTGAATCTTCCACTAGAATATAAGATACACGGCCATGATTTTTGTTTTTGTGCATGTCGAGAGTAGTGCAGCGAGGCCCTATACATCCTCCATTTTTTTGCACATTTTTGTGCGTAGTTCGGCGCCAATAGGACGAGGAAAGGAAAGAGATACACCCTTTCAAAAAAACAAAAAAACAAAAAAAAGATACACCCCCGCCATAGGTTTTGTCATTTCCACGTTTGGTGCGTGGCGCGGGAAGGGCGCAATAGTTAAAAAAGATGTTGGAATGTACCGGATGGTGTTCAGACATTTTTTAATTGTTCTCTGGTGGATCGAGGCCCATCGATCTTGTGAGTGAGATCTACGGCCAGAAACCAAAGAATACAGGTGTGTGGAACCTTTTTTTTTTTTTGTGTGTGTGTGTGTGGAACCTTTGTCGAAGGGCCTCGTCGCCGCAGCACGCGCCAAATGTGGAAACACCGGCAAAAAAAAAAAAAAAGAGAAAGAGATACACCGCCACAATCTTCGTTTTCGTCTTTTGTGCATCATTTGGTTGGTCAGTGGTGTGGGGAGTCCCAAAATTCCCGCGTGAAGGTGGCACTACTATACTACGGCGGGAAGCGCCTTCGTTTCCTCTTTTCTCTCGTCTCTTCTCGTTTCTTCTCGTTTCTTCTCTATGTCTGGACCATTACCTAATGACCTATATATATACCTATATATATAGCGTGAAGCGGGCCCAACTATCGCCCCGCAGACGGGCCCAAGAGAAACTGCGTGGGGGCGGTACCGCTGGGCCAGCGCAGTTCCGCCGGTTTTCTATTTTCGTCGAGAAGGTTCGCCGGCTGCAATTTTTTCCCTTTTTCTTAGCGTCGGCTCCCCGAGGTCGCGTCAGGCACGGGATGCCTTTGGAGCCTCGGCGGTTTTCGGTATGGGACATGAGCAGGCGCGGTTCAGGCGGCGGTGGTGAGGTGGCGCACAAGTTGATGTGATGATGTGGGACAGAAGAGTTGACCTGTGCAGAGTGAGCAAAAGTGTGTGTAAGCTTGCTCTGTCGGCAATCGCGCGTGCATCGCATTCTGTACTGCGCCCGATGCGTGAGGAGCAGTAGATTTCGTCTTCGACGTGTGTGTGTTTCGTCTTCGGGGTCGAAAGCTTTCGTCCGACCCAATCATCGACACCTTCATCGGCGTGTGAATATGGCCAACCAAGGTACGATCTCTCGTGCTCCTGTTCCTCCTGCCTCCACCTCCTCCCCCGCTCCCCCGCTCCCCCGCTCCCCCGCTCCCCCGCTCCCCCCCCCCCCCCCCCCCCCCCCCCCCCCCCCCCCCCCCCCCCCCCCCCGCTCCTTCCGCTCCTTCCGCTCCTTCCGCTCCTTCCGCTCCCGCTCCTTCCGCTCCTTCCGCTCCCGCTCCGCTCCTTCCGCTCCCGCTGATTATGATAGCGATGATGATGACGATGAGAAGACGTACGGAGGGAGGGAGTGAGGCGGAGATTGACGATTAGAGGAATCGAGGGAGACGCAGGTCGGCGAAGAACGGCCCGGCGATGATGATGATGATGATGATGATGATGATGAAGCTAGACGGGTGGTGAGGTTGAAGATGGATGGAAGGAGCTAGGGATGGAAGGAGACGGGCATCCAGGATAAACAGTGCGCTGATCATGATGATCATGATGGAGGTTCGAAAGGTATGGAGGGAAGTGTAGAGGGAGGAAAGGGGTCGATCGAAGCAGACGGAGGTCGATGAAAAACGCCGCCTTGATGACGACGATCATAATGATGATGACGATGATGATGATGATGATGATGATGATGATGATGATGATTATCGTGATCGCCACACGATCCATCTTGAACCTCCGATCCCGATTGCACGCCCGCCCATCGCGATGTACCAACGGGCACTTTTTAACGCCTGATTATAATCGCTGTATCTAGACTGAAGGGTTGCTACTTTCGCCACTTTTTAACAGGCACACACACAGAGAGAGAGAGAGAGAGAGAGAGAGAGAGAGAGAGAGAGAGAGAGAGAGAGAGAGAGAGAGAGAGAGAGAGAGAGAGAGAG